TTCTCAATGTTGGTATCTTCAGAATATATAAACTTTGGACATGTAGATAACCAAATATAGGTTGTCTTACACTCATAATTGATTATGTAAGTTCTTGATAATTAGTTTGGGAATATGAGTCTATTAAGAACGAGATGTATATCTGAGATACACATAACAGTTCAAAAGGTACTTAAGTGCGATTTTGGATGGATATTGAGTCACAATATGTGACATTTGACTTTTTTCCTAGTAAGGGACAAAATTTTGGAGAATATTATTAAAATTGATATTATGTGTATTGATGAATCAGTTATGGATACATAAGAGTTGGTTTAAACTTTTGATTCAAGTGGGAGTAATTTGTTTAAGAGTGTGAGGTATCTATCTGAATGGGTGCTATCTAAGAACTATCTAATTTCAATTATTCTTGGTTCCGAGTGGGATTTATGAGCTATTTTATTTCAACGATTATTAGTTCAGAAAATTAGTGGAGAAATTTGAGGAAAGTTATGGAAGTATATGTGGAGTATAGAATTCCAACCTAATTTGAGAAGTGGTAGAAGTTCTAATTGGACATTATGTTTATTGTAGAATTTAGGTTCTTAAAAATTAAATGGAAGACTTATAAGTTTATGATAAATAAAGCACATTTTTTTTAGAAAAAAGTTATACTCAATATGAGTATATTGAGTCGGACAAATTTTTTTCTTAGCAGTGATATTCACTTCTATGTGTTGATGCTAACAATGATGGTGTGTTTTAAGTTTAGATTACACCAAATAGACTTATAGACTGTATTTTCATTCTCAATTAAGAATTGATTGAAGAGATCTATGTGAATCGATTTGTAGGTTTTATGTTAAAGGCTTCTATAGTCTTATGGTAACCTTAAGTTATATAAGCCTAATACAGTCATCTTGACACTGGTACTTGAGTTTTATAAATATTTGAATCTTGTACAAAATTTCATCATGTGAATGAAGTTTACTGTATTTTTGTTAAAGTTTGATGGTATGTTGTAATTCTAATTTTGATGTTGATGACACTATATAGCTAAGCAAAAGAACGAGTGTATTGAGACCATTTAGAAATGGTTGTCATTAATTTTTGAGACGAAGGATATGAGTTTAGCAAATTATATATTGTCTTAAAAAGATTGTTCTAGTCTTGTTTCTCTGTCACAAAAGTTGTATATTATAAAGATTCTAGAATATTTTTTAACTGTGGAATTGTTACCACCGTGTTGATGTTCCTATGTCGAAAAGTGACCATAAGTCTTTATATATGTTCAAGGACTCCATAAATGCACAAAGAAATATCCAGAGAACCATATCTAGTGCGATTAAGAGTTAGAAGTATGTTATAATGTATATTCGCCCTAATATTTGTCATAACATGGATCTAGTCAGTAGGTATCAATGTTGTCCTTAGAAATGATATTGTAATACCTTAAGAGTGCTGCTGTGAGTTATTCTATTTGTAGTCGAATGAATAACTTGTGATTGAAATAGATATGTAAATATCGACTAAAGATGACAGTTAGTCGAACACAAATAGTTATTAGACTTATGCAATCTTGCTATATAGAGTGGCAAGAAGAATACCTTATTGTATATATCTTGATAGTTGAAGAAATTGTTTAGTATAGATGTATTGGGCATCTAATGATATTGGTTGTGAATATGAGATCCATGATAGTTATGCAATTATCTCATGTGTTGAGGATTTCAAATATCACGATGGAACCGAACACTCGATGGTATTTCTGTGAGAGACATTAGCAAAGAAAGTATCTTTGTAATATATCTACGTGAATGATGGTCTGTAATCATCATACTCTAAAGATGTTTAGAGATATGTTTGTTGGTAACATCAAATCTCTAAAATTACGTACAATGTGATATTTAGTGCATCAGAAAACTCTTGATTGAGTTTTATGTGCTTGTAGATGAACAATTGTGAGTTCATGTGTAATCTATTATTGGGATTAAGAGATAATATTTTGCATGCACATATAAAATATGTCAAACAGGTTGAGATTAGCTCACTCACATGAGCAACCGTCTCAGACAATTTGGAGTGTACTGAAATGAGACATAGTGATCATGTTGTGTACATGATCTAGTCGCCCTAATGATATATCAAAATAAGATTGCAACAAGTAATCGAAATGGATTTTGCTAATCTATTAAACATGTTTAGTAGTCGATCGAGTTCTCAATTTGAGATTGTTTGTAAGAATGAATATAAGTAGAACTCAAGTTAGGTATCTAGGAACCTGAATTAGGATTTGTACGATTTCTTTGTTTATAAACGATATGACATAGGCCCTAAAAATGGGATAAAACATCATAGCGCATGTTTCATACCACATGTGCTTTTACGACAAATATTGAGTAAATAAATGAATGGACCCCTGCTTCCTCATTGTATGAGACCTTGAGGTTTATATAATCTCATATATATCCTTATGACTTTTGACTATTTCTTGATATTTTATTTCGGTGTTGCTACTTTAGCATGCTGCCAATAACTGTGTGATTCGATTTGATGGGACATGACTAGGAAAACATCTGATTTAAAGTTGAAGGATTCAAGTAGGAAAGGAAAACTATTTTGACCAACATTTATATTTGTATTCACCGATCGGACAATTGTGTTTAACCATTTAGAGTATAGGACACAATTGTGAATACCATGATAAAATGTGGTTCAAGTATGTTCTATAAATACTTAAATTAATGTTGAAAAATAAGTTTTGGGGTATAGAGAGATGTAATGTTCCTTGAGTAGAGCCACTATATATCCCTAATAGGTTTATAGTATCGCGAGCTCTAATATATTCGTTGGTCGCATGATCTATTTGTCGTATGAAATTTTTGTGAGATAGATCTTGAGAATGATTTAACGTGTGAAATTTGTTGTCCATTGTGGTTTAGATCAAGCTCATCATGTGTGAGTGTGAGATGTTAGAAAATATGGGTCGCCCGACCCACAAGTTATTAAAATGAATTGGAGAGAGTGATTTAAATTGAATTCAAACTCATAACTTCTCTCAACTACCACCAACTTCCAAACGTTTACATGACTCCCATAACTTTGTCTTGCACTTGGAAGAGAGGAAAAAGATGACAATAAGATGGTGAAAATTCGTATGGAAAATATCATCAAAATTGAAAGATACCTAGAACAACTATCTTGGCATGAAAACTCACAAAAATTGACACTTAGATTGTGGCCAATAATCTCCTTATATTGTGATCGGGATTGAGACCATTGAAGTGTAAGAAAATTGCAAATTTGGAGTTTTGGAAAGTAAGGTGATCCAACCATTCAAAAGATCTTGGAATTTATCATTTCAAGTAAGCATCTCAACCCGAAATTCATGTTAAAATATGTCAAGAATTACTTCACTCCCAGACCATAATTTTCTCTTTGTTGGATGCCATGGTGATAAAGCTCTTATACCAATGATAGGTCCCAATAAGAAGAATGATGCTAACTGCAAACAGAATTCTCTTCGGGTGAGAATGAAACCACAAAATTTGGATAGAATTTTACATGCCTTACTAATGCCTCAGGAAGAGTTTAAATAAGCAATGGCAAACAAATTTTCCCAAACTTAAGACTACAATTAACTGACTCCAAAATAATAGCTAACAACTGCTGGCAAATGCTTGACCTATTTCCATGTGTGTAAATTATTTGACAGAAGTGGACCAGGTCTTCAAACTGCTCTCCACTGATCTCCCTGCATGCATCATGTAATAATTGTATGGATCTGTATTTCCAAATTCTCCCACCTGCATAAAGAGCACCATAGCCTTTGCCATTGATATGCTTTAGAACAGAGTATGGGGTTGTATTGGTTAAGGGATGCAAGTCTACAATATACTTCATTGCTCATTGGCCTCAAATTTCCTTTATTCTCGTGTATTCAAGATTTTTGAGTTATTAGTGCGTTGAAGTGGAAGCTTTCAAGTAATCGAGCTCGATCGCATAGATTCTTGTCATGCTTGTTTTGAGATAATGTGATGCCTTAAAATGATGGAAAAATTGTTGCATAATTTCTATTCGACAACCTTTTACATACATATATACTTTATAAGGTTACGATTTATTGAAATCATGGTACATTATTATAATGAACAAATCACTACTTACTAGATCGTAGAAAACGCAAAAAGAGATAAAATGAAGTAAGGTATGCGAATGCAAATCTCCTCAAGACGGGTTTAACCCTACATATCGATGTTAACATGATCAAACGGACATGTTCTTCTCAAAATACAATGTTTCTACAAAAATTAATATAGCACGATATTAATTTTGTTAAGTGAACAATAGCTTGACTGTACTCTTGTAAAACGAAAGATATACTACATTTCGAAGATGAAATTCAAAAATAATTTGAAAATTAATATATATATATATATATTCATGTGTCTTTTCCTATGATCACATCTTTTAAAACATTCATTTCAACTATTAGATTGCACCATTTTAAATTGGAGCATGACCTAATGATCTAGATCGCACCTTATCAAAAGCTAATGACTCTTCTGTGTCACTTCAAATTAGAGGTGTCAAAATGAGATAGCCAAAGTGACTAGTAAGAACTTGTACCGTGGGGACTGACTTGCCAAAAGAATTGTATTGGACAGTAAGGTCAGCACGGCATGAATTGTCAGCCAAGCTAACATGCCTAAGAAATGGGTCATGCCCGATTAGGCTACCTCAAAATCAGCCATGTAGGGTTACACCTCTATCAGCAACTGCTTGCAAAAACAACTGTTCTCTCTATTTAAGAGGGAAGTGGACAAGAAACACAAGGCAAATAACATCAGTTTTATGCCCCGCATATCAGTTTCTTCTGTGATATTGAAATAGAGATCATGATAAACAACGTATGCCAAAATTCCCTTTGAACCAGTATATATTAACAAATAGTGCAGAGACTTGTAACAAGACATGTATCTGGTAGTTGTGAGCATACAAAATATGCAATACAAGAGCTTCTACACATTCTCAGTGGCATCTTTTTGTGTCTCTTCTGTCTTTCCTGCAGCAGCAAGTCTCTCAGCTGCCAATCTTTCTTCGAGTGCTCGAGCACCTCTTTCCCTGCAATTTTCCAACGACAGCTCAACATAATTAAATTAAGTTGATACACGCATCTTGGAGCTATCAAACTTTCAGGAATAGTTTGTGCATTGCCATAACATGACTTCACCCATTACATTGAAATTCAAATGCTACAATATACGAAAGTTAACCCCTTCAAACTGGTGGTCATATTTCTGATCATCTTGTGCTCTTTCCTTGTTTTGATAATTAAATAGATTTGGGACCCTAGGTGGCAGCCCATTCATGTAAGAAAACAAAACGTTCACAAGTTCTACAATAATCGAAAACCCAAAATCAGTAGATGAAACAAATATGTTAAAAACCAGACCATTTTCCAGAAAACCAACACTGTAGCACTCAACAAGCCCTCTTTCAGTCGTTTCCTTTTTCCACACAATGGTTTGGTCTCCTTCATTAAAATCCCTAATTCCGAATTCTCCCGCTCTTTTCTCGACACATCACCCAATCTATTTAATAACTCCTGTCTTCATTTAATAACTCCAGTCTCCATGGTTACTTATCTTTCTTTGTTTGAATCGTAGGGAAATCCTTACAAAATTCTTCTTCAAATCCCTAATATTTCCAATCTCTTTCACTTGCCACCAAACCATAATTTGAATCTCATCCATTGAAATTTCACGCTATCTACTATTCGATCTTCAATTAAGAGCTTCACGTATTTTAATCGAGTAGAAAGTATTTGGCATTTATAACTCGTCTCTTTAATAGAAAATTCACAACCTCACAACATGAAACGAGCAACCAAAAGAAAAGAAAACTATTAATCGAGAAGTTCATCCTCTTGCGTTAATTTCCAAGCCAAATGACAATAAATAAATAAATAATAATAATAATAATAATAATAATAAAATAAAAACTAGATTGTCAAATATAGCCCCTGTTTGACAACCATTATTTTCTCTTTTTTTTCATACTCATTTTCAACCACACGTTCACTCAACAAAATTTTCTGCACGTAATCCCAAAACTTTTTTCTACTTTTTAACCACTCATTCTCATAAAAATCACTATTCAAAACTCTATTTTCACCAAATAACGCTTGTCAAACAGGGGCATATTAGTGGCAGCCCATCCAAACTCTTTTATAGCTACGACTAACATATCCATGAAGACGATTAACAATATAATTCATGACTTACCCTGAAAAAGTTGAAAATTTCCTGAATTCATAGAGGCCCCCTTATTATACCCCTAGCCCTACGCAACAGCATTTTATGCAACTTTCATGATGTAGCCTCGTAAATAATTTTAGACAATCTTCCTCTAAATAGTTAAATATGTATTACTGAATAGGATTAAAGGAATACAAGTCCTCCGTGAAAATTAACCAGAAAGATTACCTCCTCCTAGATGCTTCAATGGGATCGGATCCAGGTAATGTGGTGCCTCCTAAAGTATAGCCCCCAGACTCATCAGAGATTTCAGATCGTCTTCCACAAAGCATTCGCTCAAATATTGTCGCAATTGGATTAATAACAGGCCTGAACACCATCGACCAAGATAAAATGTTGAAATGGAGATGTGAAAGACAACAGGTAGAAAAACTTAATAATACAGAGATTAAAAAAGCAGTAACTACCTGCAAAATTCAGGGAAAAAGGTAGAAAAAGAAAATTCATCACTTGGATCGCCTCTTAGTTTTGTTTCTGGCTTTCTTTGCCAATATCTGAGATAAATCCAACCTATAAAGGTACCATATATCATGGTGGGAAGATAAGATGCCGATTCTGCAGTGAAAAAGCTTACAATGATGGACACCAGCAGTGCAAGAGAAGGCAACCACTGAAAGAGTTATTTAATAAGCAAAAATGAGAACACGTAAGAAAATTCTTAGCTTCCTTGGAGTTTAGAAGCTAAGAATGTAAATTAACAATTTATGTCATGTTGGAGATGATATTAAAATTCTCAAGTATCAAAAGTTCATACTTTTGCCTTTATCTTCAAAAAAGAAAGGTCTTGATCAGGTACAATCTGCTTGATGCCAACTAAGAACCCTGAAAGGACCCCTTGGAATCCAGAAACAGGCATGTAACTACAGAACAAACAACAGTATGGAAACCAGAATTTTTTTAAGTTAACCTTTGACAAGCATACAATGACAAAGGTCATAACAAATTAAAAGGGGATATCAAATAAACAGCACGCAATTAACAAAAACCAGGATATGCCAGAAGGTGATTAACTATTGGAAATTGAGCTCAACATTTTGTGATACGAACTTCTTTCGATGTAAATTTTATTCATGTTGCATTTCCAGGCCATGAGTTCCAGGTGTTACATTAAGGCAACTTAACTATTGGAAACCAAGATCAATATTAGGTGACATGAACTTCCTTAGATTGATGTAAATTTTATTCATGTTGCGTTTCCTGGCTAAAAGTTCCAGACGTTATGTTAGGCCACCTGTGCGTTTCACTTATTCTAGGCGCAGTAGGGGTAATTCTGGGAAGAAAAACATAGCTGACGTGTAAGGAAGGGGGGGTCCATTATGCAATTCTGTTAGGAAGAAGGTTCTGGTATTCTGTTAGGAAATTATATAGGTGGGAGCTGATTTTGAGATAGATATCAAAGAATTAGTTTGTATTAAGCTTGCTCATTTTGGAGAGTTTCCAGGCCCCGAATGCTTGGTTTTTTCAGTAATCAATCACAAATTAAATAAAGGTTTCCATTATCATTTCCTTTGTCTATATCTGTGCTACTTAAGTCTACCAAATTCAGCTGAGTGTGTATCAAATTGGTATCAGAGCACTCTTACCTGGGAAATGGCAGCCAAAAATGTTGCTCAACGAATGGATTCGGTGGAGGAAATGGTCGGTGCCGTGCAAGATGAATTTCAACGGGAAGTGGGTTCGTTGAAGGAAGAAATATAAAGTATGAACAAAAAATTCAAACACTTCATCAAATTGCAAGAAGAAACGGCTCGAGGTGGTTCGTTGTCGCAAAAAGGAGAAAAGATAGACTGTCCATTCATAGGTGAACCCCATGGTTTAGACGGCGGCTCGGGTTCAACCGGATTTCGCCACAAATTCCGATTTCGAAGGCTTGAGGTACCACTGTTTGATGGCTCGAATCCGGACGGATGGGTATTAAACTGTCAAATGAAGAGAAGCTCGAGGCGGCGGTTGTGGCGTTTGAAGGAGATGCCCTGCTATGGTATCAGTGGGAAAATAGGAAGCGGACCATCGTGCTTTGGGAAGAGATGAAGATCCTGCTCTTGAAGCAATTCCGAACAACCCAAGCCAGCTCACTCCATGAACAATGGTTGGCTCTGGTTCAAAATGGCAGCGTGCAGGATTACCGTCGGAAATTCAAACTGTCGGCACCATTGGATAACATCTCCGATGAATTGGCTCTGGGTAACTTCATCTTGGAGCCCAGCAACGTGGGCTAGGCAATGGACTTGGCTCAAAAATAGAAGAGAAACTGTGGGTAACTAAGGCCCACAAATCAGCTGGCGGATTTTAGAGAATGGGGAGAGGGGGTCAACGCGAAGCAAAAATTTCCATCCAGAAGCTTCCTGATCAAATTTTGGGGGAAATCATTCTACTGCCAAATTTTTCGGCGAGGTAAGGAGGCTGTCCAACTCGGAACTTCAGAGGAAACGGGAGAAAGGGTTGTGTTATAGGTGCGATGAAAAATGGGCACAGAAGGAACTGAATGTCCTTACCCATGAAATTGAAGAAGGAGAGGAGGGGGATGGAGAGGAATCGAAAGAGGCGGAGCCCGAATTGGAGGCAACCGAGCTCAATCAAGTAGTGGAAGTTTCACTCAGCGCTATGGTGGGCTTAACTACTCCAAAGACAATGAAACTGAAAGGGTGATCGGGGGCAGGAGGTCGTAGTTTTGATTGACCCAGGTGCAACCCACAACTTTATTTTAGAGCTGGTCAAGAGAGTGCAGATACTGATTGTTAAAACTGAGGTCTACGGGGTGATTATGGGAATGGCACTGCTGTAAGAGGAGAAGGGGTGTGTCGAGGAGTAACTCTTCATCTGCAGGGGATTGAGATTGTGGAAAAGTTCTTGCCTTTGAGGTTGGGAAGTTCCGATGTAATCTTAGGAATTCAGTGGTTGGAGACTTTGGGGATGACTCATACTAATTAGAAGACACAAGTGATGAAATTCAGGCTTGGTAACGAGTCTGTTACACTATGTGGGGATCCATCCCTTGGGAAGACTCTGGTTTCCTTGAAAGCTGTAATGCGAACCACTAAACATGGGAGAGCTGGGATTTGGTGGAGCTCAATCAACTGGAAGGACTGAGGGAAGTGCAGCCTGAGGTGCCAACATTTATCCAACCAGTTTTGACAGAATATGAAAGTGTGTTCGACATGCCATCAGGTTTACCACCTATCAGGGGACACGAACATTCCATTGTGCTCAAAGAGGGCAGCCAACCGATTAGTGTCCGACCTTATCGCTATCCTCACGCCCAAAAGGATGAGATTGAGAAATTGATCGAGGAAATGCTGAATGCCGGAATAATCCAAGTTAGCAATAGCTCCTTCTTGAACCCCGGTTTTACTCGTTAAAAAGAAGGATGTTTTTGTGTGGATTATAGGGCTTTAAACAAGGCTACAGTACCAAATAAATATCCTATTCCTGTCATTGATGAACTCCTTGATGAGTTGCATGGTGCGAGAATTTTTTCCAAGCTAGACTTGAAATCCGACTACCACCAGATCAGGGTCAGCAATCAAGACATTCACAAAACTGCTTTTCGAACTCATGATGGACATTACGAGTTCCTTGTCATGCCTTTCGGACTCTCAAATGCCCCCACTACCTTCCAATCCTTGATGAATGATGTTTTTTGGCCACATCTTCGAAAGTTTGTTCTGGTATTCTTTGACAATATTCTGATTTACAGCCCATCAGAGGAATCCCACCAGCAGCATCTAGCCTAAGTCTTGGAAATTTTGCAGAACAACAGCGTCTACGCCAACCGAAAGAAGTGTGAGTTTGGTAGGAGTCAAGTGGCTTACTTAGGTCACATCATTTCCGAACAGGGGGTAGCAGCGGACCCAAGCAAAGTCCAAGCTATGATTTCTTGGCCAACACCCACTAATTTGAAGGCATTAAGGGGATTTTTGGGTTTGACAGGTTATTATCGAAAGTTTGTGGCTGGATATGCTCGAATCGCATGGCCATTGACTGATCAGCTTAAGAAAGATAAGTTTGGGTGGAGTTCAGAGGGGGCATCAGCTTTTGAAGAACTTAAGCACGCTATGTCCTCAGTCCAGGAGTTGGCAATGCCTGATTTCACAAAGCCCTTCATCGTCGAGACAGATGCTTCTGGGTTTGGGTTCGGATCAGTTCTAATCCAGGATCAACAGCCAGTGGCTTATTATAGCCAAGTTCTGGGGCCCCGAGCTCGCCTTAAGTCCATATATGAGAAGGAATTAATGGCTATAGTGTTTGCGGTTATGAAATGGCGACCGTACTTGCTCGGAAGGCGTTTCATTGTGCGGACATATCAACAGAGTCTGAAGTTCCTATTAGAGCAGCGGATTATTGGGGTGGAATATCAAAAATGGATCACCAAAATCCTGGGGTATGACTTCGATATACAATACCGTAGGGGGCAAGTAATCGAGTAGCGGATGCACTCTCTCGAGTAACAGATCAAGTGAGTTCTCAACCTTGACTGTACCACAATGGCAATATTGGGACTCTTTAAAGGTTCAATTAGTAGAGTATTCCTTTCTAAAGAAACTCAGGGAGGACATAATTTCGGGCGCACATTCTCACATTAGGTTTGCAGTGGAACAAGGAATCTTGTTTTATAAAAATTGTTTTGTTATTCCCCGGACTTCTAAGCTTCTTCCTGCTCTAATGGGGGAGTTTCATACCACACCAGTTGCGGGGCATTAGGGAGAAACTAAAACTTATCAGCGCCTGGTGGCTGAGTTATACTGGATAGGAATGCGCAAGGATGTAGCCAAATTTGTTCGGGAATGCACCGTTTGTCAACAAAATAAATATCTAGCCACTACTCCCGCGAGGTTGCTTCAGCCCATTCCACTTCCAGCGCAAGTTTGGGATGAAGTCACTCTTGATTTTATAGAGGGGTTGCCCCGTTCCGAGGGCTGGGATGCTATCTTAGTAGTGGTGGACAGTCTAAGTAAGTATGCTCATTTTCTTGGTTTGAAACATCCTTTTACTGTTGCCTCGGTGGCTAGCATTTTTATTCGGGAAATTGTAAGGCTTCATGGGACTCCTCAATCAGTTATTTCTGACCGGGGATAGAGTATTCTTGAGCCATTTTTGGGGTGAGCTATTTAAGCTGCAGGGAACTACTCTTAAACGGAGCACTACCTATCACCCTCAATCCGATGGGCAGACGGAGGTCGTCAATCGATGTCTGGAAACATATTTGCGCTGTTTTGCGTCTGGGAAGCCTCGAAGCTGGTCTCGTTGGTTGGCTTGGGCAGAATATTGGTACAACACTTCTTATCATTCTTCCACTCGTTGTACTCCTTTTCGTGCTTTCTATGGTCGGGATCAACTATTGGAGGATCGTGATGCTTTACTAGATGATTTGAGGATGCATTTTCTCTAGGCCCAACAACGGATGAAGCTACAGGCTGATCTCAAGCGCCACCATGAAGAGTTCAATGAAGGTGACTTGGTATTCCTGAAATTGAGTCCATACCGACAGCGCTCCCTCGCTCAACGAAAATTTGAGAAGCTAGCTGCCCATTACTATGGCCCCTTCAAGGTTCTGCAACGGATTGGGAAGGTGGCCTACAAACTGGAACTTTCTCCGACAGCAGCAATCCATCCTGTTTTTCACATTTCTCAGTTAAGGCCTGCACGAGGGATCTCAACTTCTTCTCCGGTATTACCTCCTCAGTTAACCCCTGAGCTTGAACTGGTAGTGGAACCAGAAACTTCGATGTGAGTCCGTCCCAAAGCTCATGAATAACCTGGCGAGGTGGAAGTGTTGCTGAAATGGAAGTCCCTGCTTGCGTATGAGGCGACTTGGGAGGATTTTCACTTGATTCAACAGCAATTTCCTGATTTTCACCTTGAGGACAAGGTGAATGTTTGGGCGGGAGGTAATGTTAGACCACTTGTGCGTTTCACTTATTCTAGGCGCAGCAGGGGTAATTCTGGGAAGAAAAACATAGCTGACGTGTAAGGAAAGGGGGGGTCCATTATGCAATTTTGTTAGGGAGAAGGTTCTGGTATTCTGTCAGGAAATTATATAGGTGGGAGATGATTGTGAGATAGATATCAAAGAATTAGTTCGTATTGAGCTTGCTCATTTTGGAGAGTTTCCAGGCCTCTCGAATGCTTGGTTTTTTCAGTAATCAATCACAAATTAAATAAAGGTTTCCATTATCATTTCCTTTGTCTCTATCTGTGCTACTTAAGTCTACCAAATTCAGCTGAGTGTGTATCAAGTTACATTAAAATAATCATATGATTGACAAAACACAAGGATATGACAGAGGTGACTAAGGGACTGTTACAGCCCAATTTTTTGGAAAAATAGATTATGTAATAGTGATTTTTGTTTTGAGAATGTGTGATTAGAAAGCAGAAAAAATTTTTGGGTTTATGTCTAAAATTATTTTTATCAGGAGAATGTTGATCGAAAATGAGTTTTTAAATAATGTGGCTGAAAACAGGGGCCAAATATTGGAAACCAAGGTCAATATTATGTGACATGAACTTCTTAGATTGATGTAAATTTTATTCATGCTGCGCTTCCTGACCATAAGTTCCAGGTGTAACATTAAATGAATTGCTGCAAGTCAGCAGTTCTCCAATCTAGGCCTAATGACTTGGGAGTGTCTAAATATTTGATCAACCCAAGAACACAATTCAATCAGAACTTCACAACATTATAATGAAGCAAATGAAAAATCCATTAGGAAACTGGTGCTCAGGGAAAACACAACTTGCTGCAGAAGATGTCGAAGTATTACTTACAGGTAAATTTCCTGTCTCGTAATGTAATACAAGGCAATAGCTGTGATGAAAACACAAACGGATGTCAGAAAGTTAACAACAAAGATGAACTTCAAGAATTCCCTAGATCCCCATATGGGTTCAAGCAGCTTCCCAACGAAAAGAAGACCGATTGTGCTGATAAACAACTGCAAAAGAAGTATAACATTAGGGAACACCTTACAATAGAGGTCAGAGGAGCAAAGGTTACTGAGTAGAGTGAACAATAAATGCAGAATGACTAAATTTTACCCCATATATTGATTGTTCAGTGTATCCAGCTGTAAAGAGATTCCAAGCAAAAGGTATGGTCCTACAGTAAATCAAATAAATAAAATAAATTAAGTCACACTTTTCTATTTAAATGGCTTGCATAAAACCATGCACTAAACAACTAAGTCTTATTATAGCTGAAAAGATAGATGAACAAATGTGGTCTACTGATCAGAGTTCGAGAGCCAGAGGCGGTCAGATTCCCTAAGAGAAATTTTCTAGTTGGCTTCCGCTTGCAAATGATCTGATGTTAGTGGTTATAAAATGGCAGTCGAAGAAAGAGTTATTGGTTTTATGATTTGTGGCCACGAAGACAATAACTTGCCAAACTAATTTCATTTATATTGAGACAGAACTTTCATGCAATGCATAGTCAAGCCTCAAATCGTGTCTTTAACTCTTCCCAAATACACTCTACATAATAAATCCACTCTTTTTACCGGCATATATGCCACAAAATTTTTTTTTTTTTTTTGGTGAAAAGAACCAGTAAATTCTTGATCTTCATAACTCGGTCATATCTGAATTTACGCCATCATAAATTCGAAAGAAAACCCACTGCAAATAAATAAGTTAATTAAATTAACACATTACTTCATCTCAACAAATTCAGGCGAATAAGTCTCATGTGAACAACATAAAAATAAAATATGACACGATTAATAAGAGAGAAAAGAGTACTTGGCAGGGATGAGAGCAAGGTAAGAAAGAGCAGAGGGCAAAATCTGAACAACAATGTGGCCACCCACTAATACCACCGCAAGACCCTTGCACAGCCGTGTGAAACCTGTAAACATACTCATCGTACCCTAACCAAAAAGCACCAAAGAATCCATCGAAACTCAATAATTACCAAAAAAAAAAATCAAGACGAATTTTCAGATCTGATGTGCGCATAATTAATGTCCATAATAATATAAAAACACGTAAATTAATATGTACCCCTGAGAGCTGCGGAGTGCTCATTGCGAGGTAAAAGAGGTTGAATTATTGTCCGATCTGAATTGTTTGGGGATGTTAATGAATTTTTTTTATTTTTATTGTCGTCTGGATTTGTTAATATTGAAGTTATAATCGTGATTACTGACACAGTGCTGCAAACTATGCAGTGAATTTTCGCAGAAAATTCCAATTCAGTCCTCGAAGTTTTGGAAATTTACCAATTTATTTCAGAAGTGACACGAGAGTCGTTTGCTCGTGCGTCGAGGAAGAATTGTTAAGCCACAGTTGACAAAACTTTTTAAGAATTATAAGATGAATTCCAGTAGAAGTGCGGTGAAAAACATGTAAAAACTGTGGGACGAATGAAGTCTACTCCCCATTTGGCGAAGGGCCAAGGACTGGATACGACAATGAGTTCTAGCGAGGGCTGCCTCTGCACATTAAAGAAGCGCTGGCACTTGTCGCATTTGCGCACAAACTCTACTTCGTCCATTTTTAGGGTTGGCCAGTAATATCCTTGCCTGAGTATCTTGTGGGCTAGGGCTAGTACTCCGGAGTGATTCCCACAAACGCATTCATGAACTTCTTTCAGAATGTAATTCGCCTCCTCTCCTCCTGTGCATTTAAGGAGGGGGGATGAAAACTCTCGCTTATACAGAATATCATCTTGCAAAACGAAATGTGCAGCTCTCCTTCAAAGTTATCGCGCTTCGATTTCATTGTCCGGTAAGGTCTACTCTTTCAGATAAGCCAGGATCGGATGCATCCATGGGGGAGTGCTTTCAATCCACATCAACTCTTCCCCCTTTTTGATACAGGGTTCCACCAGGTGTTCAATAGGTACTATTTTGAATAGCTCTGAGTCCCTGCTACTAGCCAGTTTGGACAGGGCATCCGTATGGGCGTTCTCATGACGGGGCACCTGCTTTAATTCGAACTTCTCAAAGTTGGGAAGGAAATCCATAACCAGCTTCAAGTATGTTGCCATGTGTTTGTCCCTAGCTGCGAAGTTCCCATTGACCTAATTCACCACCAACTGTGAATCACTGCTAATAGTCAACCTCTTCACCTGTAACCCCTTGACCAATCGAAGACCAGCTAGGAGGGCCTCGTATTCGGCCACATTGTTGGAAGCCTTGAAGCCCAGTCTCACTGCACAGTTAAGTTTATGCCCCTCTGGGCTTTCCAAAACGACGCCGCCCCTTGAGCCCGTCTCTCCGGAGGAACCATCCACAAAGAGGTTCTAAGTGGGAGGCTATACTGGTTCCATGTTCACTTCGACCTCAGGAGCCTTAGCAAATTCTGCGACAAAGTCAACTAGGGTCTGACCTTTGATTGCCGTCCGGGGTGTGTATGTTATGTCGAACTCACTGAGTTCCAGTGCCCACTTTAGTAGCTTTCCTGAGGCTCTGGCTTTTGAAGGACCTGCCTTAGTGGAAAGTTTGTTAAAACACGAATACTGTGGGCCTGAAAGTACGGCCTTAGCTTTCGAGATGCAGTGACTAGGGAGAGAGTCAACTTTTCCATATCCGAATAGTGCATTTTAGCGGGTACCAAGGCCCTGTTTACATAGTATATGGGTAATTGATGCTCCTCTTCCTTCCTTACAAGTACCAAGCTGACTGAGTCTTCAGCCATTGCCAAATATAACAACAGAGGCTCCCCTTCCTTTAGTTTGCCCAACAGGGGTGCCTGTCCTAAGTAGTTTTTCAACTCTCGAAATGCCTTTTTACACTCCGGGGTCCANATTCTAGAGTCCATTGGAACTTCTTGCCTCCCTTGAGGATGTTGAAGATGGGTAAACACTTTTCAGTGGCCCTTAAGATGAAGCGGTTGAGTGCGGCTCTCCTGCCAGTAAGTCATTGCACTTCCTTGGGTTTCTATGGAGATCTCATTTCAACTAACGCCATAATCTTTTTCGAGTTGGCCTCTATTCCCCTTCGATTCACTATGTAGCCCAGGAATTTACCTGATGCTACACCAAAAGCGCACTTAAGAGGGTTCAGCCTCATGCGATGTTTCTTTAGTATCTAAAAGGCTTCGTTCAGATGTAGTATATGCTCCTTGGCTTGGAGACTCTTTACTAGCATGTCATCAACATAGACTTCTATTGTTCTACCAAGCTGATTAGCAAACATTTTATTTACCAACCTTTGGTAAGTTGCCCCGACATTTTTTAGGCTGAAAGGTATCACCTTATAACAGTAGAGCCCTCTATCGATAATGAAAGAGGTGTTGTCTTCATCGCCTGGGAACATGGGGATCTGATTGTAGCTCGAGTAGGCATCCATGAAGCTCAGTAATTAGTGCCCCGCAGTCAAGTCGACCAACTGGTTTATTCGGGGAAGCAGAAAGTTATCCTTTGGGCCAGCCTAATTGAGGTTAGAAAAATCAATACATACTCTCCATTTGCCATTATGCTTCTTCACATGTACAGGATTGGATATCCATTTCAGATATGTGGCTTCTCTAATGAAGTCGTTAGCAACTAACCTTTCCACTTCTTCCTTCAGGGCTTCGTACCATTCGACATTTAATGTCCTTCATTTCTGTCGATGCGGAGTACAGTTCTGGTCAATCTGCAGATGGTGGCAGCTGACCCTGGGTCTATCCCAGTCATATCTTCGTGTTTCCATGCGAAGACATCTGTGTTCCTTCGAAGGAAGTTCTTCAGTTCTTCCTTTGTCTCTTCTTCCAATTCCTTACCGACCTGAAGGACCTTAGTTTCATCATACGAGTCTCCTCGAAAACTTTCCAGTTCCTCCATAGGGGCAGTCTGCGATTCTGATTCGATCACCCGAGGATCCAATTCTTCTAGGGATATATCAGGTCAGGCTTCTGCCATTATAACATCCAATGTTGGGGGCCGTTCATCGGGGGAATCTGACATTTCTGCATCGAACACCATGTTTACCCGTGGCTCAGCTTTTCTCAAAGAGTTAAGGTAGCATTCTCTAGATCCCATCTGATCGCCTTAGACCGTAGCTATTCCCCGTTCGGTGGGGAATTTCATGCACAGATGATGTATGGAAGTAACTGCCCAGAGTTCCTTTAGTGCTGGTCTCCATAGCACTACATGGTAAGCGGACCAGCGATCCACTACCAAATATTCCATAAAGTGATATGCCACTTGTGGCGGCACTCCAATCTCTACAACCAAAGTCATCTTGCCTCTGGGGACAATACTATCTCCAGTGAACCCGTACAGTGGCGAGGTCATGGGGGAAAGCTCATGATCTACTGCTATTTTGTCAAAAGTTGTACTGAATAGAATGTTAACTGAGCTTTCATTATCCACCAACATATGCTTCAGCCCGTTGCGGGCCACTACGACTTTGACTACTAAGGAATCACAGTGTGGGAAGTGCACATCCGATGTATCTTCCTAAGTAAAGGTGATGGGATCTGCACCCCTTCCCACCTGGGATTGGTTCACTGTGCAGCTGGTCATGGGTGGAACCCTTTCTTCCCTAGTGTAATTTCTTTGAGCATTTCTGGTTCGCCCCTTATGTGGGTCCCCCAATGATCGTGTCAATTTCACAGATAGGTTGGTGCTCGTTTAAGGCGGCAATGTCCATTCTAGGGCGTTGTCTGCTCCGAGGTCTTTTCCCATCACTATTTCTATCGTTTCGGGGCGAGTGACGCCTCATTTCACCTCTCCTTGGAGGTCTTCGTCCTAGTGCATTATCTTGGTGACGGTTCTCCCTCGTGTTACGGGGGTTGCTTATTGGCCCGTTGGCTTCTCTGCACTCACTTGTGTCGTGGCCATAGAAGCGATGAAAAGTGCAACATAGTTGTGTTTCCTCCTGAGGCCTATCTCTAGGCCTGTCACCTCTTCCTCTATCTCTAGAGGTTGGGGGTCGTCCAGTATTACTAGCAGGGTTGCTGGTGCTAGGTCCAAAATTTTCATAGGCCAACGTTGGTACGATATTCAGCGTGGCGATGGCCAACGCTTGTCCCGAAGTGAGAGCCATTGCTAACTTACTATCTGGGATGTAGGCTCTCTATCGATCTATCTTTGGGGTGGAAGAAGTCCTTGAGCTGCCCTGTTCCGATGGTCAATCATTTCCTCATTGACAATCTCAACTTTCATCATCTCTACCAGTTCATCATAGGTCGATGGGTTTTTGCTTCGGACATCTCTCCAAAACAGAGTATTCATGTTCAATCCTCCCTTCAGGGCTGAGAGGGCTTCCTTATCTGTCACCTGCTCACAATAGTGATTTCATCAGTGAAATGGGTGAGGTAGTTTTTTAGGGTTTCCCTTGCCGCTTGCTTCATGTCTTGGAGACGTTGAATTGGCAATTCTCCCTCATTTCTTGACAAGTATTAGTTTAGGAATGCCTTCTTAAGATCCGGCCAGCTCCGGATGCTCAGAGGTGACAATCTACTATACCACACCTCGACTGAGCCACTAAGTGTTAGGTGGAAGGCCCTGCATTTCAGGGCAGGCGAGGCCCCTCGAAGACTCATTTGCGTTTTATACTTGTTGAGATGTTTCTCTGGGTCTTCTTTACCTTCATACTTCGGGATTTTGGGGAGAACAAAGTTATGTGGCAAAGGAAAATCGTGAAGTTCCTTGGAGAATGGGAGGTTGTCATCGTCGTCGTCCAACTCAAAAGATCGGCAAGGTCCGTTAGAGTCGTTCCTATCTGCTGTGGGACGGGATGGATGCTGGGCAGTCCTGTCTTGGTTCCCCTAATCTACCAAATTCTGTCTCTCTCACCTATTCCTAGGTGGAGAGATCTGGACCTCTTGGCTCTGTAGGCGTTCTTGCTGGCGAGCTGTTTAATAGGACTGGTTCCTATTTTTAGGCATCCGCTCGTGGGGTCATTGCTGTGTGACATTTGTTCGGATAATCTCTTCTTCAGAGACGTCCCTTGTTCTTCTCGGATTCACATCTTCGTCACTGGAACTCATGATCCGAAGCGAGTATCCTTGCCAAGAGCTCAGTCTTGTGTAACTCCTAATTCTTTCTCAAGAATCAATCCCTTTTTCAAGGGATGATATCAATTGGGTAATCC